TTTGAATATTGCTGCTCTCTAAAGGTGACTGGAGAATTCGATGATGAGGAAGAGGAGGGATCCTGGGGTGGTGAAGAGGAGGAAGGTGATGAAGATGATGAAGGAATGGAATACTTCATTCTTCAGGAGAACACTGGCTACATGGCACCCACATTGACGTTCTTGGCTGTACTGCACACGATCATCTCCTTACTCTGTGTTGTTGGATATTACTGCCTTAAGGTTTATACTGATTGCTCTCATTTGATTACATTCATCAGGATTAAGAATATTTCAAAGCCAGATTCTGCACAACCGTGTTGATGTAGCCTTGTTTTCTCCTCGCTGTAGGTTCCTTTAGTTGTGTTCAAGCGGGAGAAGGAGATCGCCAGGAAGCTTGAGTTTGATGGCTTGTATATTACCGAGCAGCCGTCTGATGATGACATCAAAGGACAGTGGGATCGTTTGGTCATTGCAACTCCGTAAGAAACACTTTAGACATTCTCTTTCATTCAGTCCCTTACGCTACATTTACATTACAGTGTCAGTTTCAGATATTATTATATTTATTGAATATAGCACTCAACAGTTCTATATAGTAACAATAAGTGTACTCCACATACGCACAACAAGTAGCATCACATAATTACACATTATACTACTGTTCAAAAGTTTGGAGTCTGTAAGATTTTCTTTTTTGAAGTTATGTTTTTGGCCTTTTTATGCCTTTATTGGATATGACCGTAAAGATCAGCCAGGAAAGCATGGTAATGCAACCCTGGTCGACGGAAACATTTCTTATTATTATCAATGTTCAAAACAGTTGTGCTGCTTAATATTTTTGTGGAAACCATGACACATTATTTTATTTTATTATTCTTTAATGAACAGAAAGTTCAAAAGAACAGAAATCTTTTGTTCATTATACATTCAATGTCACTATTGTTCAGTTTAATGTGTCCTTGATGAATAAAAGTATTAATTTCTTTTAAATACTTTTACTAATAATTGTGTATGTACATTGACATGAAATATAAGTTAATATGCTGCACTAGAACTACAATAAATATGCATATAAATGTTTTTCATAAAATGGACAATGGTCAAATTATCAACAGAAACATTTTACTTTTCAGTCAAACATACACACGGCAAAATTATTTTAAACTGAATTTTTAAAACCTTTTAAAAGTATCATTCATATCAATTGAGAAACTACAATGAGTATTTGTACATTTATAAATTGTGATTGTCACACTACAGGACCATTTAAAAAGAAATCGTGAAGACAAACATGATTCAAAAAGGAAATACTGAAAGTTAATTGTCACCAGTTACAGGACCCAATATGTACACTTTTCTTTTGATTGATTTCAATATCAGTTTTAACTACCCACATGCTGTTCATTGGTATAACATATCCTTTGTAATTCATGAAGTAATTGATAAATCAATCCATCAGTTCTACAGAGCATGAGTACTTACAAACTTCCGTACCTGTCTTTCAGGTCCTTCCCTAACAATTACTGGGACAAATTTATTAAGAGGAAGGTAAGCAGAATCACACACAACTTGATGGTGCTTGTATTCATTGGACTGTCTGCATATCCAATTTCCACTGTCCTCTGTAGGTCATCAATAAATATGGTGACTTGTACGGGGCCGAGCGCATAGCTGAACTTCTGGGTCTGGATAAGAGTGCTCTGGACTTTGATCCCACTGAAGAGGCCGTGGTGAAGGAGGCCTCCCTGTTGTCCTGGTGAGCTGACGGGACATGAAAACATTTGGTTTGAAAGAGCATTAACGCATTCAGTCATGTTTTGGTTTCAATTGCAGGTTGAGCTCAATTGATACCAAGTACCACATCTGGAAAATGGGGGTGGTGCTGACGGACAACGTGAGTACGGCTCAGATTTGAAAACATAAAGAGGAATATCCTGTATCAAGACAATAACGTTTTATCTTTCATCTCTAGTCTTACCTCTACCTGATCTGGTACACCACCATGTCTATTCTGGGACATTACAATAACTTCTTCTTTGCCGCTCATTTGCTGGACATTGCCATGGGCGTCAAGACACTGAGGACCATCCTCTCTTCTGTGACTCACAATGGCAAACAGGTAAGTCTCCTCCAGCAGAGGGTGACTGTAGTACAGCTTCACACCAAGATACTTCTGATCTGATGATGAGAGTATCTTCTTCATCTGAACAGCTGGTATTGACTGTGGGCCTCCTGGCGGTTGTGGTCTACCTGTACACCGTGGTGGCTTTTAACTTCTTCCGCAAGTTCTACAACAAGAGTGAGGATGAGGACGCGCCTGACATGAAATGTGATGATATGATGACTGTGAGTTTAGCTTTTCATTTTGAAAAGATCCTTGAAGGACATTTACCATGTTGTTTTCCATCTGGCTGATCTGGAAGTCATCTTTGACTTATACTGACTATTGGTGTGGATGCATTAATGCAGGAATTAATCATTTATTATAATTTATTAAAGTAAGATAATGTTGTCAGGTCATATCAAGTTTTTTTTATTCAAATATATCAAATGCTTAGGTGACCTAAATGCATTTTTTTTCATTTAATGAGAAAAATACCATTGATTTCTTCTTAACACTTTTAAAAAGAAATGGGAAAATTTCAAATTTTTTAATATTAAGAGTGCCTTTAAAGCTTGATTTTTACATTTTTACTTTTATATTTCATTATTTAATATACATATGTATTATGTTCAAACATTTGGGGTCAGTAAGATTTTTTTGAAAGAAATTCATCATTTTATTCAGCAACGGTGCATTAAATTGATCAAAAGTGACAGTAAAGACAAAGCAAAGTATCTGATGAATAAAATGTATCAGTTTTTTTTTACAAAAGTATTAGGCAGCACAACTGTTTTCAAAATTGATATTGAATAATAAAAATTGTTACTTGATCAAATCGTCATATCAGAATGATTTCTGGAGTAATGGCTGCTGAAAATTCATCGTTGCAATCACAGATATAATTGACATTGAAAATATATTACAATTTAAATTGTAATAATATTTCACAATAGTATCAATATCTTTTTACTGTATTTTTTAATAAATAAAAGCATTCTACAAACCTCAAACCTTTGAACAGTATTGTGTATGTAATGTCCAAACTGCTTTGCTAGATCATTAAAAACTAAAACGAATCCCATGACTCCTCAGTGCTACCTGTTCCACATGTACGTGGGTGTGAGAGCTGGCGGTGGAATCGGTGATGAAATCGTGGACCCTGCCGGCGACCCGTCCGAGCTCTACCGCATTCTGTTTGACATCACCTTCTTCTTCTTCGTCATCGTCATTCTGCTGGCCATCATTCAGGGTACTGCTTTATAAGCCACACTGATCTTAAATAGCAACAAAACTACCCAACCCATCATAGTCTCACAGTCACTACTGTGAACATTCAGAACACCAACATAATGCTGAATGCTTTCATTTTCAAACCAGGTTTGATCATTGATGCCTTCGGTGAGTTGAGAGACCAGCAGGAGCAGGTGAAAGAGGACATGGAGGTGAGCACTGTCACATGTCCTCCTTGTAAGGTCTAAAAAGAGCACAGTCTGTTATTTTTGAACTTTTTTTTTTATCCTTGGTGTAGACAAAATGCTTCATCTGTGGAATCGGGAATGACTATTTTGACACAACCCCGCACGGCTTTGAGACCCATACCTTACAAGAGCACAATCTGGCCAACTATTTGTGAGTAAACACTGTATATGACATCCGATATGCAAAGTAAGACCAACTTTGCATTGTTATAATGCTTCCTTTATCGACTAAACACATCTGAATATTCAAATATTCCTTTCTAACAGATTCTTCCTGATGTATCTTATCAACAAAGATGAGACTGAATACACTGGTCAGGTAATCTACTAATCCAATTAAAACGAGTGCCTTATTTATAAAATCAATATACACTACCTTTCAAAATGTTTGGGTCAGTAAGATTTTTTAAATATTTCTGAAAGAATTCTCTTGAGCTCACCAAGGCTGCATTTATTTGAGCAAAAATACAGTTAAACTAATATTGTGAAATATAAATACCACTCAAAATAACTTTTCTATTTATATAGATTTAAAAATTTAATTTACAGTTCTGCTCATATGATTATATATGCAGAATATGCAAAATGTTAATAACAAAATAAGAGGGATCATGAAAATGCCATATTTTTTATTTAATATAACAGATGTTTACATACACTCCACAACACAAAATAACTGAAATTATAAAAATGGCTCAAAAGTTTACATACCCTTGTTTCATTACCTGGATGGTCCACAACTTTTTCCGTTAATGATGAGCTTATTCAGGACAGAGCTAAAAAAAATTTAATTTTCATGATCCATCTTATTTTGTTAATATTATTAGCATTTTTACACATTCTGCAAGGGGTATGTAAACTTATGATTCAAACTGTATTTCTATGGTAAAACTGAATGTTCAGCAGCCATTACTCCAGTCTTTAGCCTCACATAATCCTTCAGAAGTCATTGTGATTTGGTGCTCTAGAAACATTTCCTAATATTAATGTTGAAAACATTCCTTGATATTTCTGTGGAAAGATTTTTTTCTTAAGATTCCTTTATGAATAGAATTCAAAATAACAACATTTATTTAAAATATAAGTTTTTTTGGTCAAATTATAAATGCCTTTACTCTCATGTTCAATGGATTTAATGCATCCTTGCTAAATTAAAATATTAATTTCTTTAGAAAAATGTGTGATCCAAACTTGTGAATTGTAGTGTGTACTATTATTGTATATTATTATATTTAATAAATTACATCTTCTAATTATTCCAGGAGTCGTATGTTTGGAAGATGTATCAGGAGAGATGCTGGGATTTCTTCCCTGCTGGAGACTGTTTCCGGAAGCAATACGAGGACCAGCTGGGCTAGAGGACATGTTGTCCTCAGTCCTAATATGAGAGAACCTATATGAGCTCCTAATAGCCACATGGATTTTAGGACCTTGTACAGGTTGGACACAACATCCTAAACCATCTCTCATCATACTCTGCTCACTAATTCATCCAATCAAAACAACCTCAATCGTTCCTACACCAGAAATGACAGCGACATACTGAGAACTCATTCTGATCGAGCCAAAAATGTGAACTCAAGTGCAACACTGAGGAAAAAAAACAACAAAAACATGTAGCACACATTGCCAAATAAAGACACAAAGCCATGTTTGATAAAAAAAATGTGGGAAAATGCCTCATTTGCTTAACTCACAAATGCACACAAACTTGTGAGATGTTAACATGTGTATGTTTTTTGATGTTGAATGAACGTCTACACAAATATGCACAAGAATACCTTCTTAGGATTCAATGAGTGCCAAAAACACTTTTTAAAACACACGATTTAAAAACTAAGACTATGAAGACTGTGCAATGGCGTTAAGGACGGTAACCTGACTGGTGGAATGAGCAATATAACGATCATATAACTGCTTCAGTCCACTAGCTGTTTCTCATACAGAAAAGTGCCTTATGACAAGAGACTATGCAAACATTTTGTTCCTGCTCGTATGTTTTACTATTTGCAGTTTAGTTTAAACTATCACTGACTGTCTCACCTGGGTTTAGTAGTTTTGTAGCTTTAGTTGACGTTTGTTCACGAGTAACCATTACACTGCTTTTTTAATGTTTGGTTAAGGTTAAATAACTGAAATCGTGTGTGACCTGATCATTTATGAAGTACTAGTAATGGGAATCTACATTCGAGGACAAAAACAATTACATTTATTGAACAGAAGTCAATACACTAAACTGCTATTGTATGGCCATTTGTATGTATGTAGTGGCTTTGGTGATCTGCATTTGTTTTGAGCAGGGGGAATGAAAATAAAGTAGCTAATGCAATAAATCCAAGCTGGTCATAACTGCTTTTAATCAGAGTCAAGTGATGAGCGAGAATATGATGGGTCTGAAATACTGTGTTACACAGCATTACATCACTTTTTTTGAGTAATACTTCGATGAAGCATTTTATATTCCACATGACTGAATTAGTCTTGGCTATTAGACTTAATGAAGTGTGGCGGTATGATGTTCACGTCCACACAGAAGTAACGCTGTGTCAGCTTCTCTGGGATCAGGAGATCATGCTGTCCAGCCAGTCCTCCAGATCCTCCTCTGTCACTTCCTGCCTCATAAGTTTAGCTTCACTTTCCACTTCTGGCTTCGTTTCTTTCATATCAACCATTTGATCTTTTCTCTCTTCTTCTCCTGAACCTGTTGAGGTGATAAAATCACACTTTTACATCAGAAACTACTTTGAAACTTCACTTGCAAAAGCTACAGGATTGATATAGAATCTAGAAAACTTTTTAAACAAGTAGTTCCCTTTCAGTCGGTCACTCTCGACTTCACGTCGGATGACCGACGAAATTGGGATCTCGCTTAGAGAGACCAATCCACTTCGAGTGTAAACTAAATGAGCCAATGCACATTGGCATGCGATTATTGCATCCAGCTGCTGCTGATCACAGCGTGAGTATATGTAGGCAGCAGATGCAGCGCATATTCAGCTTTTCGCTTCGGAGCCGAGCGGTTCTTTCGTTCTGCTCCTGACCTTCTACGAGTAGAGAGTAAAGACTACAAGTCAAGCACGCTCTTTGTGGGCTCTCGTGCTGGTGGACGGCGCTTCAGCGGCGGTGGTTTTCCTGTGTCGAGTGGGTTGCACACAGCAGGCTGCACTACCCCTGTGTGTGTTGCAGACGGCCATCTCCCCTGTGCGCTTCAGCACACTGAAAGAGCAGTTTTCCATACTAAAAGAGCTTCACGGGTGGAACGTCTTTTTGAAGACTTATTAAAGATGTCTTACCACCCATGTGTTTCTGGGTGCGGTCGTTACCTGGCGCCTGGTGATGATCACAATCGCTGCCTCTCGTGCCTGGGCGTGAAGCATGCTGAGGCGGCTTTCGTGGATGACTCATGCTCCTATTGCGGGGGTATGACCATCTTGGAGTTGCGGACCAGACTCCGTTACCTGCAAGGGGGCGGAGTGCCTGTGCCACTGCCTAGATTCTGGGGTTCCCTCTGGTGGCAGCCGGGGGTACCCTTTTTCTGGCAGTGGGTGGACTGGTCTCACGGTCACGGTGAGGAATTCCCCTCCTACAAGGAAGGGGATGCCCGAACCAGCCGGCACGTCGAAGCCAGCGGAGCCCTCGAGAGAGCAGGCTGTATCCTCCCGGGGGATACCACCTGTTTCTTCCGAGGCTCCCCCCGACGATCGGATGTCAGTCGCAGCATCGGAGGGTGAGCCAGACTTTTCTGGGGATGAAGATCCATCAGCGTTGCCGCCCTCTGGGTGGCCAGCAGTGCCGGATACGGACCCGGAAATGATGGCTATGCTTTCCCGGGCCGCCGAGAGAGTCGGGCTCGAGTGGAATCTTCCACCGCGTCCCGAACCCTCAAGGTTGGACGACTGGTTTCTCGGGGTGGCCCGCGCTGGTTCTCAGGGCCCCACCCCAGTGCCTTTCTTCCCGGAGGTGCATGATGAGATCACTGGGTCATGGACGGCACCTTTTACTGCCAGAAACCGGCCCGGTGGCTCATCCTCCCTCACCACCCTCGATGGGGGTCCAGCGCGGGGGTATACGGGAGTCCCCCAGGTGGAGCGGTCTGTTGCGATGCAATTGTGTCCAAATGCCACTGCTCCCCTCCCGAGCCTGTAGGCTCTCGTCGGCTCTGATCGGCAGTGCGTATACGGCCTAGGGAGAAGCTGCGTCCACCTTACACGCTTCGGTGTTGCTGCAAGTACACCAGGCCAAGGCACTGAAGAACTTGCACGAGGGTGGTCACGACCAGGAAGTTCTCACGGAGCTCCGCACCGCAACGGGCAGACTGAGGCCATCAAACACATCCTGCCCCGGCGTGCAGCTGCTGCCTCCACCCGGCCGCCGATGGCAGCGCCCCAGCCTGCTCGTCGCCGAGGGCAGCCCCCGGCCGCTGCTTGCGCGGTGTCTGAGAGCCTGGCTAGAGCTACCCAGGCCGTCTCGATGGCTCCGTCGAACCGTCAGGCTCGGCTACGCGATTCAGTTCGCCCGGCGCCCTCTCAGGTTCAGGGGCGTCCACTTTATGTCATTGAAAGCAGCAGATGCCCCTGTTTTGCGTGCAGAGATCGCAGTCCTACTGGCGAAGGACACGATAGAGCCGGTTCCTTCAGCTGATATGAGGTCGGGGTTTTACAGCCCTTACTTCATTGTACCCAAGAAAGGCGGTGGGTTGAGACCTATCTTGGACCTGCGCGTCGTGAACTGGGCCCTTCACAGGCTCCCATTCAAGATGCTCACGCAGAAATGCATCTTCAGGTGTATCCGTCCCCAAGATTGGTTTGCAGCGATCGACCTGAAGGACGCATACTTCCATGTTTCAATCCTTACGCGCCACAGGCCATTCTTGCGGTTTGCGTTCGAGGGGCGGGCATACCAGTACAAGGTCCTGCCCTTCGGGCTGTCCCTGTCGCCCCATGTCTTTATGAAAGTTACGGAGGCAGACCTTGTTCCCATGAGAGAACAGGGCATTCGCATTCTCAACTACCTCGACGATTGGCTCATCAGGTTCCTTAAGGGGGCGAGAAGGTTAAATCCTTCATGGCCGCCCTCTATACCCTCTTGGGACCTGACTCTAGTGCTCACGGCACTACAGCAGGGCCCGCCAGACCTTCACTCTCTGAATCCTCGAGAACCGGTAGAAGGCTGGGTTCCATATGTAAGACTTAAGTGGATCCCATATGTGTAAAGTCCACGGTATAGCCTTGAGCCCGTGTTTCCCCGGCAGACTTCTTCGGGTCACCGGCTCGGCTTCTCAGCGAAAACCTGAATATGCACTGCATCTGCTGCCTACTTATACTCACGCTGTGATCAGCAGCAGCTGGATGCAATAATCGCATGCCAATGTGCATTGGCTCGTTTAGTTTACACTCGAAGTGGATTGGTCTCTCTGAGCGAGATCCCAATTTCGTCGGTCATCCGACGTGACGTCTCCGTTCCCTCCTTCAGGGAACGAGGGTTACCATACGTAACCGAGACGTTAGCTTTGCTTCAAAGCACTATCAGAAAGTACCTAAATTCACTGAAGTATTTAAGGATTACATTTAAATATTGTATAATAATTTCATTCTGCAATAATGGCATTTATCTGGAATTTTACTATAGATATATAAATAATATATATTTTATATAAATATGCAGAATTTTCAGTCTTCGGTGTCACATGATCCTTCAGAAATTATTCTAACATGCTGATTTGGTGCTCAAGAAACATTTCTTCTCAATGTTAAAAACAGTTTCGCTGCTTCATTTGTGGAAATCTTGATAGTGTGAGTTTTTTTGAATAGAAGGTTTAGCATTTATTTGAAATTCTTTTAATGTAAAAGTCGTTACTTTTAATTAAGATAATGTGTCATTGTGTCATAAAAGCATTAATTTCCTAAAAAAAAACAAAAAAAATCTTGCTGACCCCAAACTTCTGAATGGTAGTGTAATTATTTACAAACGGTGACAAAAAACAGCACTCAACTCCATACTTAAAGAAGCAGTGATTCAAATGATTCAGTAATTCAGGTTGATCAGTGAATCGATTATTTACATCAGCTGTCTCACTTAAATGAGTCTGATTTCCAAACACTACTTGTGTAGCTTATTATTGGAAGTTACGACTAATACTAATTTTAGTTAGTTAAACTACACGCCGACACTGTTTAACAAAAAAAAAGAACATACATATATAACAACCTTGTGTTGGGCTGTTTAGCACATCATCTGTTGTAGCGTGGGATTCGACTAAAGTAATTTCTGTGATGGGTTTCTGCAAGTCGAGGAGAAGGTCGAGTTCCTGGTCAGCATCATCTGTGGCAGGAGGGACGGCTGTGGAGACACTGAGAGACGGTGTGGTACCTGGAACAGGCTTTACACCTGCCTGAGGAGCTTTCGATCCAGCTGTTAGAGTCGAGTCGGTTCTGTGAGGCACTGTCACAGACGGAAGTTCAATGGGAGTCGTCACCTGAAACATATTAAAACACTAGCACATTCTTCACTGGTACTAGTAAGTATTTCATAGTATTCCAACAAGAAAAGCAATTGATCTACCTGCACAAGCTCAGCCTCCAGGTTCAGTCTTATGTGCAGTGGAAGCTCTTGAAGTGACTGAGTTAAAGCTGGCAGGTCTATAAACAAAGCTGGAATCTGAAGAAATTACAATCAACCATGAGAACATACTTCCTCAAACAACAGGATTTCAATGATTGCAGTGCAAAACCTGCAAGCGAGTCATAATACTTAAAGGGGTCATATGATGTTGAAATAACATTATTTGGTGTAATGAAATGTGTTTATGTGGTTTAAGGTTCAAAAAACACATTATTTTCCACATACTGTACATAATTTTTTCTCCTCTATGCCCCGCCTTTCTGAAACGCGTCGATTTTTACAAAGTTCATTGGTCAGAAAAGCGAGGTGTGCTCTGATTGGCCAGCTATCCAGTGCGTTGTGATTGGCTGAATTCCTCAAGCATGTGACGGAAATGTTACGCCCCTTACCATACTGTGATGCCCTGTCCGGCCAGAGCGACGAGACAAAAACATGAAAACCATTATAAACGAGGCATTTGTTGCATCCAGTGGGGATGGATTAAAATGGCATATACTGTCTTTTTACGCGTTGCGTTGCGCCGCGTAAACATATTGAACTGTTTTGGAACAGTGTTGTAAATACAACTTAAACACTGATTTCTAGTCGTGTCCAGGACGGATCAGCTCCAGGCATGACGATGCAGATATCGTCCTCTTTTGGAAGGCCAAACAAAGTAGTTTCGTTTTCACAACAAAACACAGCGTCACACATGGCGGGCTAGAGTGAGCGGAGGCCGGCTTGAGTGAGCGGCGGCGGGCGCGCTTGAGAACGGCACGGCCGGCGGATTCAACGAAGGAGTGGCCGGTGGGCTTGCGGCAACCACATGTGACGACCCCGGGCTGGACTCCGCTTCGTCCACGCTGTATTTCTTCAGCGCCCAGGACGGATCAGCTCCAGGCATGACGATGCAGATATCGTCCTCTTTTGGAAGGCCAAACAAAGTAGTTTCGCTTTCACAATGAAACACACAGCGCCTTCACGACATGGCGGTGGCGGCGGCAATAACAATACTGCAGCGAGAATAAAAGTTATGCCTTCTTTCTTTGCGTGAACATTTGGGCGGCGTTATGCAAATCTTCTCACACAGGGGCGTGTTAGAACGAGCCGTTTTAGGAGGGTGTGGACAAGTCTTAACTTTTATAAAGAATATCTCTTTGGTTTTGAGACTTTAGTCTTTGCAACTTAACAGATCTTCTTTATGCACCAAGAGCTTGTAACACTCCAAAGAGAAAGGAAAAATTGAAATCGCATTATATGACCCCTTTAATAACTTGTGGAATGACTGATCATGCACCTGATTTTTTGCTAGCGAGTCCACCTCCCAGTCCTTCTCATCAGAGAACCTGAACTGTGTAAACGAGTCCCCTGAAATGGATAAACGGGTAATACATTAAAAAAAGAATATATATATCACTTATAGTTAAATCAAAGTACATTCGGTGAGTCACCAGGTAATGTATTAGTTTTGCTTTGACACTTTCAGGAAGCTTAGATTGAATTCTTTATTTCAGTGAAATTACTGATGTGCCACTTTTACTGATTTTATTATTTACATAATATTTTTTCATTTTACATTATGAATAAAGTCCAAATTAACGTTTATTATAAATATTTGACCGTTTATTTATTTTATTAATATGAATTCATTATTTTATTAATATTATTACATATGAAATATTACCATTCATCATGAATGATAATAACATTTGGTTTAATTACATTTCTAAAATCAATATTATATATCAAATTATGTACACTCTGCTGATTATCCAGCTGTAAAAAAATGTAATTGGAAATAAATACCATTTATATAAATACTAATGCTATTTTTGTATTATTCATATACTATTAGAGTATTTATTTTAAATTAGCTTTTATTTTTGTTCAATTTTTCATTTTAATTGAAGTTTTCTTAATTATGTACTTTTGCCATTTTATTTTCTATTTTTTTATTTAAATACTTCTTTGAATTTCAGTTTTAGCATTAGCAATTTTAGTACTTGAACTTTATTTTTCATTTTGGCAAGGTAAGGTTTCAAATTTCGTTTTGTTTTTTTTATTTAATATTTTTAAAGTTTTTTAATGAACAAACATTTGTAATAGTTTTCATTAACAATAACCACTGTACTATAGCTCAACTTCCTAGCCCCTGCATTGCAGTGACAAGCATTAATCATATCTATGACTTAGTTTTCAAGCCTCTTAGTTCAATCCTTAGCCAAGAAAAACAACTCTCACATCTCCATCACTGCGCACCTTCACAGCAGCAGCAGCTCAACGTGTGTCATCTTTTGAAGTCATTTTCACCTTGACACAAGCAGCGTGAATTCTGAGGCGGCAGCAAGTTGGGACAGCTGAAGAAAGAAGCCGTGGGCCTGTCACGCACAGCTGTCCCAGCCAGAATACTCAGTGCCTCCCGCCTCAGAAACACTCTTTCACTCGAGACACACTTGCCAACTGCAGTTGGCCAAACCGACACGGATGATACAGAGCAGGGTCTCGAGGTCAAGAGGAGCGATCCTTCTTAAAAAGAGCACTTCAGAAGCATTCTGCCACTTCATATAATGTGTTAAAAAGATGAACTGCTGCAACTAAAAACAACAACATGCTACTCTTAAAGTTTTTGTCTATCTAGCATCCCACTGACGTCACAGGAAACAAGATTCCTGCTAAAGCTGAGCACGCTGCCAAGTACGCAGTGCTTGATGTCATCAGTGTAGAAACGCTGCGGACAGGAGATGCCATCCAGGCAATTTCATCATGTTTCCTTCACTGGCAGTGACAGCGCCATGGAAACTGCTGCCATAACAATAAGCAAAGGTCCTGTCAGCATGTGCAACGAGGGGCAGCCGAGCTTTAGCAGAGCAAGTAGTGTGGCTAGTGAGTATAACAAACCAGCTGCATGTGACATACTGCTGTGCTGCATTACTATCACAAGTATAGTATACTATCATATCATAAATACATTGTTTGTACAAGTGCATGAATAAATTAAAAAATGATCATATGGACACTGTTTAGTAGGGATTCAAAAATATAATGTGTTGGATCAAGGGCCAATGATTATTTTTATGTTATGTCTGATAAACAATATAATTGAGTATTATTACAGATGAAGGAACGCAGATATGCAGTACTTACAGTATGACTGCAGGCATATTTCCTCTTTCATACAAAAGTTGAGTAAAATTAATGCTCCTGTGCATAATGGTCAAATACTTTCTCTCAGGTTTAATTTAGCAATTTATTCAATTATTTACTCACCTCTGCAGGATCATTCTGGGTCATATTTCACTTTCACATATTCCACCAAAATCAAAAGTGAATGAAAAATGTTGTGAATCATCACTAAGCATAATAACAATTACAAACAAATGTTGAGCAATCCCCCCCCCCCCCCAATTTATTCATTAAAATTAAAATAAAACAAGTCTACACTTTAAATATATAAATCAATATATATTTTTTTAATTTTTAAAAATGTTGTTTTTCATTAAAAAAATTAGTTCATAAATTTTTTAACCTGTAATTTAATAAATATATTAAATGTAACAAACTATATGTGACCCAGGACCACAAGATCAGTCATAAGGGTCAGCTTTCCATTGATGTATGGTTTGATAGGATAGGACATTATTTGGTCGAGATACAACTATTTAAAACATCTGGAATCTGAAGATGCAAAAAAACAACATCTAAATACTGGGAAAATTGCTTTCAAGTTGTCCAAATGAAGTCCTAAGCAATGCATATTACTAATCAAAAATTAAGTTTTGATATATTTATGGTAGGATATTTACAAAATATCTTCATGGAACATGATCTTTACTTAATATCCTAATGATTTTTGCCATAAAAGAAAAACCTGTGCGACTTAAGAAGGTTTTGTGGCCCAGGGTCACATAATAAAAAAAGTACTGTACAGTGGCCCGGTAGTGCACAATAGGGGTGTGCGATATTGACAAAAAAATTATATCTCGATATTTTATGGGATTTTATCGATAACGATAATTAGACAATATTTTGCTGAGTGTGTTATTGTGCTGGTACCTTAAGGACTGCCGAAGACAGCTGACTCCTAATGTTTTTAATATTCTTCATATTCTGTGTGGCGGTCAGTTCATACTGATAGAAATTAATCTTTTCCAATAAGTTTAAACTGATTTTTGCATTTTATGGGCATTTTTACCTTTATAAAGCCATTTTTCTAAACGTGTCCATTATCTTTTGAGTCAAATTCGTACATTTAATCAGGGAATTAGAATAATAAGACATTTGGGCTGTTACCAAGCAAATTAAATCAACACAGAAGCTGCATCTGAAGTGGCATTTAGATGTATTTACACACATGTATTTTGTTTAATGCAAGACATGAATGCATTTAACCTGCAATTACAAATGCATAAATAATGTTTTGATATATTAAACATAAAACGTTGAATACTGATATTTGAAATGATTTAAAACATGAAAAATAATCACACAAAAAAAGAACTAGACTTCATGTAATGTAAGCGTGTGCTCTGTAGGGATGTTTTGAATGGTTTTTGCAAAATACTCGATAATGTCAAATCGCACATCGTTAAAACAACAATTACAATATTATCGCAGATGATATATATCGCACACCCCTAGTGCACAACACAAAAAAATCTCCACAACACAATGGAAACAAGTTGCAACAACGGAAACAAGTCGCAGTACAACGAAATTAGCACAAAACAACAGGAAACAAGGCGCAACACAACGAAATTAGCGCAGCACAATGGAAGCAAGTCGCAAAACAATGGAAACAAGTTGTAACACAACAGAAACAAGCCACAACACAACAAAATTAGGACAAAACAATGGAAACAAGCCGCAACACAAAAAAAATAGCACAAAAAAACAACAGAAACAAGTTGCATCACAACAGAAAAAATCAAAACATTTAAATTTACACAAAACAACGGAAACAAACCACAACACAATGGAATTAGCACAACACAACAGAAACAAGTTGCAACACAATGGAAATAAGCCACAACACAACGAAATTCACACAAAAGTAGAAACAGGCTGCAACACAACAGAAAGAAGCCACAACACAACGTTAGTTGTGTTAAATTAATAAACACAATAAAATTAGTCCTATGTGTTGTGGCGATTTCATTGTTTTGTGCACTACTGGGCCACCATAGTCACTGGCCAATTCTTTATCTTAATCCATATTGCAAATTATTTTACTTTTATAAAAATTTAAATTGTTTACATTTTAAATTGTTTCTAAAATGATACATAGTTTAAATGTTACATTTAAAAATATTGAATCATTTTTGTCATTGTTTAACTTAAGTAGCTATTTTCAAACATGAATTAAATAAGCTGAATTCAGTTAATCACAAACAATAAGCAATAAATAGGCCACCTCACACAAAACTAGTGTACGATATTGCATAGTGCACAGATGGCTTGAAGCTGCTTCCAATGCTGGCCTATTCAAAAAAATTAATTGGTCGATATTGACAATGTGCATCCCTACTTTTTACACAACCTAATAGCAAATATGCAATAAACAGGTAAAAATGGCTGATGTGAACGAAACATAAGTGTACAGTAGCATCTCTGGTGCAGTGCTGGCATAATGTCAGTGTGGCAGATGTGTCTCTCTGCAGGCTGGCGTCCTCTGAATGAGGGAGAGTAGCGGCTCAGGAAGCAGCGCTACAAGTACAGGTAATTTCCTCCCAGAGAGTGGCATCATGTATGCAGCCTGCCAACCCAAATCTGGCCACCGTTCTTTGCTTTTTCAAGGGCCCTATAAAACACTGACACCAGGACCATGGAATGCTGTGGACCTACAAGCCCAACAGTATTAAAAAGAGCACAGGCCATCCACTGCAAGTCGTTAAATGCCACTTAATGCAGGGAGGCTACAGCCCTTTGGAAGACGCTGCTAATTTGCATTGTCGTCACGGCTCTTGAGCAAATCATTGCTAAGCCAATTAACACAAAGCAAGTCCATAACGAACTGAACCATCAAAATAAATCAGTCTGTGATGATTGCAATTAAAACATTTCAAGCTGAAAATTCCAAACAATAAGACGGTTATTTACTATACGTCTCAACACCACTGCCATGCAGAACACCAACAGTTTCCTATTAGTGTCTAGACTTGAAAGGAAAGACTGTACAGTTCACACACATGGTTCATTTGAAAACACATCTTTAAATATGACATTTGTGAGAAATATGTGAAAATGTTTTCCTTCAAATCATTAAAAGTCTAAGCTCTGCTTTCGTTTCTGATCAGTTAGCGGGATACTGAACAAACTGTTGTGTAACCTTCAAATCATTATGTTTATAAAGTGGTATGAGCTTCCTAAAC